AGAACTGAAAAGGAGAATCATCGAAGAGGTGAACGCCATTCCGATTCAGATGTGCCAAAACGCAGCCCGAAGCTTCCAAAATCGGCTACATCAGTGCATTGCTACTGGAGGCCGCCATCTTGCAGATATCGTTTTTAAACGTTAATGTAAAAAAACTGTTTGAAGTACCAAAGGTAATAAAAAAATTTCCAATCCTCTACATTTAATAGTATTTTATTGATTGCTCTCCAAAATGAGGGCATACCTTTCGCCGCACCCTGTACAAAGCGTTTTTTTGGTATTTCTTTGTAACTATTTCTTAAATGTTTAAAATCGTACTGTCAAAGCCGAAGAAAGGTTAAACAAATATTTTACAAGTAAAAAATGTAACAATGTATATATTTTTTATAGTCAAGACATATATATCACTAATCGATACTGGAATATTTATTTGTCTTTTCACTAACTATTTAAATAAATATGGTATAAAATGATATTAATGTTCCTGTTTCTAAAGAGCAAATGTGAATTGTAAATTTTATCCATCATAAAAATTTAAGGAATAGTATCAAAATCAAAGTTACATGTCACTAAATATAATGATACTTCCGTTCTCTTAAGAACATGTTATACATTAATTAAAATCTTATCATAAATTTTAAAAATCTAATATAATTAAAATCCCAAATGTTAAAAATTTCAAATAAAATAAATATTTGTATCTAACATATATATTATTATAATAACTTAATAATTTATTTTTACAATGAGATTATTTTGTCACTAATTGGGATATTCACCTAAACGCTGAGTTATATAAATTAGTTTCAATAAAATCTCGTTAAAATCGAATCGAATCAATAAGATTTATTCCGATCACGGTGCCATTGGCCAATTCTATCGACATTACAATATTTTTCCTGCGTACGTGAACGTTTCAGTCAATTAAAATGTATTTGTTCCCGCTAGACGGCGAATTTACAATTTCCAATAAAAATATTCCCTCGGCGATTCCAAATGGAGGAATTCTTGCTACACGAGTGAAAAGTCACTCGATTCGCAGTGACTCGGCTGTCGCTCTGCTTTTCGAGTGGAATTTCAGTGGAATTACGGAGAAATTTAGAGAGTAAAATAAAAATACCGTTTGCGCCGATGAAGTTGAACAGACAATTTATCCTACATACTGCCGGTACTCATCAATTTGTTGTAAGTTGAATATGATCCATTTGTCAAACGTGATTTTTGGGAGTGTCATTGTAGAACTGGTCATCCAATATACAAAGTTAGTATTGGTGAAACGAAGCTCTGTGTTCGTAGTGAAGGTTATAGGTATCTTCTACTTGATGTGGCGGATAACGGTGAGTTGCGCATCATAAATTCTTTGCATAAGACGTACTATTATACTGTTGTCATATTGCTCAATGTCAACATACAATGTAGGCGTGTTTGATTGTGTTAGCCAGGATTCCATTACTTCCTTTAATTTATACTCGTAATTTTTCTCGAATTCGTTTTCCGCTGCGTTCAAGATCGTCCAGAATTGCCGTGCACTGGCAGTCTGCAGCTCTCTGTGTAGGAGTAATAACATTCAATATCGATCGTGTCGAATGCTGTAACAGCTTGAATTCCAAAATTATCGTATTATTCATTATTACATTTATCGGAGCGTTATGCTATGAATTCGTATAATAAAGTGCACATATGCGCGGTAATTGTTAAAAATTCAGGCAGTTTATAATAATGTAACATATGCGAATTATAATTTAACGAAATAATATTAAATATTAAATAATATAGTACGTTGCTTTCTTTCCCAGTGGTTATACGATAATGAATTACGTGCTATTGTCGCATTATATTACATTGTATGCATTATTTACATCGAATAATTGACAAGGATTTTTTAGAGTACCTCTTTTGTAATTAGATGTTCCAACATGTATATTATAGCGAACGCTATAACAATTGCTAAAACAATGCTATAACAATTTGCACGGTAAAAAACTTGTTAGATTAAATAAGTTGCAACAATCGAGAAATCGTAAAAGCGCGTCCACTATTCACAAATGTGGCTGATACGGCGGAAGGAAATTGATTCTAAATTTGCTACAGAAAAATAATATATACATACATTTTATGAATTAATTTTCTCTTTCATAGAGACCAGTAAATCGCGAATAAATTAGTTAACCGTTAAAATATCGTATTTATTATATTATTCGCATTGGTGAACGACTTCGTTTCGTTACGTTAGCTCGATATGACGTTACATTTCGATTTTAATCAACGGCCATATTTGTAATTATATCGTAATATTAAAATATTCTCACTTTTCTTGTAAATGAGAGGAGCGTAAAGCGGATTTAATTCGGGTAACATGTTATATTCGATTATATTTAGGTAATATAATTCGTCGTTACACAGAGCAGGTTGCAGAACGCGTTCTACGAAGAGCCCCATCATATACTGATTCTTGAGGATCTGAAATTAATAGTAGAATAAATTAATGTTTATTTTACATTTTTTTAGCATGATAGAGAAGATATGTAGATCTTAGTAATGTGGATCTCGCTGTTATTGAAAAATTCTAATATCTACGTAAAATTTCAACGTACAAGCAGTATCGTGGATTTCGACCTAATGTTAAAATTAATGACGTCTCTCTTAATTGCGCGTGCAAAGTTGCGTGTGGCTAAAGCTGACGATACAAAACAATCACCTCGTGAATCAAAGCGTGATAATTCAAATACAACGTAAGTGCTTTATTAAACCACAGGTAAGACTATTTTTGTAGGCTGAGAAAATTTTCGGTATACTGCCTTGTCACTTTGTGTGCTATTTTCATCTGTACCCTAAATTTGCGACCATGTTGAGTTGTATACGTGATATCGTCTTTCCTGAATATCATGTTCTTGAATAAGAGGATCAAAGATTCTCACATATTTAAATTACACCCAGTGCAAAGATATGGCCATTTTGAACAAAGTTCCCTCGTAAGAAATTAAAATTAAAAATCTTAGATTTATTTTTCCGTACGATCGAAACTCATATTAGACCAGATATTGAAAAATGAAGATTGCGGATTGAAAATCGGATTTTGATCAACCAGGACAAGATAAGCTCAAATCAAGATTAGTTGATTCCATCAAGTAAATGATTGTAAGGCTCTTCGATTAAAATGATTGTAAGGCTCTTCGATTAAAATCAAATAATAAAGGACGATAAAAGCTGATGACGCATCTAATTTGTACATATTTTAATATACTATGCACTTAGACAGAAATTACTTTATTATCGAAAAGTTTCGGCCATATATTGTGATAATTATTAGATGTTCCAACAGCCAAAATGATTAATTTTTGCACCATGAATGTTAATTGATTCCAATTTCTGCAATCTGCAATCTTCTACGCTGAGAGAAAAATATTTAGTATTTGTAACTATAATGTCATAACTATACATTATAGTAAAAAAATTATAGTCAAGAGGACTGTTTTTCTAATAAATGTTACTATAGTGTCAGTGTTAATAAACTTGCATATTGCTACTACTATTTTCATGGTAAAAGCCGAAAGAAGTACGGTTGAAGCCGAAAATAACTTATAATTTCTGTCAGTGTGCTTCCCAATATACCTGGTCTGACTCAAGACGAGCTACGACAAAAACGCGTCTATCGTCGAGAGTTCGTTGGTGGTCGTTTGTTCGTCGTTGGGAAAAACTGCCCTCGAGGCCCGCCGCCTGATCATCGAGATTCCGATCGCACGCTCACCTCATAACAGTGAGCGCCCAACCTCTCACGTATTTTACCGGCAGTTTCGGAAACGCTACAAGTTCAACTTTCCTCAGAGAATACAACAGATTCTTGCTCATGAAGCGAGACACCTTATTAGCGGTTTATTGCACGATATTCAGTTACTTCTTCATGTGTCATCTGCATCACATCGTGGCGACGTCTGTGTCGTGTTGACGAAATTGACGTATGTCGTTTCTGCTCGCCGAATGACCGCTGAACACGTGACGGATATTGAGAACCGCGATCGCCACGAAGTAGGTGAGCAAATCGGGAGTGGTTTGAAAGCGCGTCTGCATTTTGTCGGCCGTAAAATTCGACGTTTCCCGGGAGGGCATATTCGACAGTGCCGTTTGATATTTCGGATACACGACGGAGATGTCGAAGGTTGCTCTCAACGACGGCTAGTCCCAACACGGAAACGCACGTCGTGCTCCGGTCGGCTAGAATAACGTCATGTATGTCTACCTGTCGCATTTCAAAGATGATTTTAACGGATCTTCCATCATAACACGATATCGCACAATTGTCGCTTAATTAAACGTCGTTTACGCAAAGCTCATGCGGACAGCGGCCGACGTTGACGACGATATCTCGGGCGAAAGTATCGATAATTATTCCAATTAGCAATCCAGATGGGCGTGTAACATCCAATGGCAACGCGCCTTGAACTTGTCAAACGGTATCTTCTGTACGCGAGAAACTTGCTCTTTTATTTCCTTCCATTAATTTTTTATCTATTTATCCTTAAAGGGAGAAAAAGAGTAAATAAATAAAAAATAAATGGTAGGAAATAAAAGAGCAAGTTTCTTGCGTGCAAAGAGTACCAAAGTTGAAAAGTTCAAGATGCGCTGTCGGTCAAGACGTTGACGTTTTATTTGTTTAATATTCATTTATTTTGTCTAGTTTATTTTGTCTAGTTTATTTATTTATTTATTTATTTATTTATTTATTTATCGGAAAGAAAAGAGATCGCTGAAAATTACCACTCGTGACTATTCTTTTCGATATCATACTGCACTTTAGAAGTTGTGTACTTTGTAGGCTGTCGGTAGATCGTGGCCAGTAAGCAGCGGCAAACGGTTTGCCGAAGCGGACGGCCTCTTCTTCATGTTTCTCCTGGTACTTCACCTTGTACGTCTTTCGTTATACGTCTTTCGTTATCCGTGTGACCGGTCGCGACAAAGCCTGCGCTGCCGTGCAGAGATCCGTTGAATTTCATGCTTAGAGTTTACTCACCAGACAAGATTCGCTTGTCGAACTCGAGAACCAAAGTCTGCGTTTCCGTGCAATAACTGTACATCCGCGGCTTACAGACCGTATTATCTTTACGGACAACAAACAGTATCGATTTGTTCTCTACTTGCAGCTTGTAAGCGTGTAAACTAATGTATCGCGTCTGAGTAAGGACATAAGAGCGTAGATTGAAGAGGACACTGGACTCCCCGCGAAAAATGTTCGCGTAAGGTTCCGGCGTGACGTATGAGAATTGTATAAACCGACATAATATAATAGGGCGCGCAATTTTCCGAATCCACGTTTGTATCAATAATTGCCGTTGCGAGGGTGAACATTAGGCCGGCACCGAGCAACAGTTCGAAGTACATCGCGACCGTTCTCGTCCCAGTCATCTGCAAGAACAGTTTCTTCCTTACGACGAGAAAAAGAGACGAAATGTACACTTTCACGCACATACACGTATACCAGGTATAGAAGTATGAAACCGGAATTTCCCTATAGATGGTGCCATCAATTTAGGGACCGTAAGACCGCTTCTACAGCGCTATCATCTCCCTTTAACAGCTGACGAAGATTTTCAACACACAACAACCCAAGTTCCATACACCGGTATATTTTTCTATAACCTTAAACATGTCGAGTTTTGTGCCTACGAACTACGATTTGCGGACAGTATTGGTTTTTTGTTATCATTTGAAGAAAACTGCTGCAGAATCGCATCGAATGCTTGTCGAAGCTTACGGTGAACATGCTTTTGGTAAAGCACAGTGTTTCGAGTGGTTGAAAAAATTCAAAAGTGGTGATTTTGACGTGAGAAACGAAGAGCGTGGGAAACCACCGAAAAAGTTCGCAGACAACGAATCGCAAGCCTTATTGGATGAAGATGATACTCAAACTCAACAAGAACTCGCGGATGAATTGAATGTGACGCAGAAAGCTGTCTCAATTCGTTTGAAAGCCATGATTCAGAAAGTGGGAAAATGGGTTCCGCATGAACTGAATGAAAGACAGCAAGAAAATCGAAAAACCACTTGTGAAATGCTGCTCGACAGATACAAAAGAAAGTCCATCGTATCATGACAGGTGATGAAAAATGGATATATTTTGAGAATCCTAAGCGTCAGAAATCATGGGTGAATCCAGGCGAACCATCGACATCCACTGCAATCGCTTTGGAAAGAAGACAATGCTCTGTGTTTGGTGGGATCAGAAGGGTGTAATCTATTATGAGCTGCTAAAACCTGTTGAAACCGTTAACACTGATCGCTACCAACAACAAATTATCGATTTAAATCGAGCATTGCGTGAAAAACGACCGGAATATGGAAAAAGGCAACACAAACTCATTTTGCTCCATGATAATGCCCCATCACACACAGCAAAACGAGTCAGGGAAACGATCGAGGCGTTCAGTTGGGAAATACTAACACATGCGGCTTATTCTCCAGACTTGGCTCCGTCCGATTATCATCTATTCGCATCAATGGGACACGCTCTCGCTGAACAATGCTTCAATTCGTATGAAAATGTACGAAAATGGCTCGATAGCTGGTTTGCTTCAAAAGAAGAAATGTTTTTTTGGCGTGGCATTCATAAACTGCCGGAGAGGTGGGAAAAATGTATAAATAGCAATGGACGTTATTTTGAATAAAATATTTTTTATCATTTTCAAACAACAGACGTGTAATTTTTACAAAAAAATTCCGGTTTCATATTTCTACACCTGGTATATGATAGTATGTTTAACTAACGAGTGATCCAATTGTTCAATAACTTCAAATTATAATTTCATCTCGCGACTGCTTCCACTTACTTTTTTAAGACATCATAACACTGTGTCTTTAGAGACACAGAGTGACCGGTGAGCAATCTGAAAGCCTACAAATACCTCACGGAAGAAGGGTCGTGTATCGTTAGACAAAGATATATCAACAGGCACTTTAGATAAATAAACATTCCATGGCACGGAGAAAAATAATTTGCTGGTACAACCAAATCTGTCAGTTACTACGTGGATGGCATAACGATTTGTTGACAATAACAATTACTATTCCCTGAATTATTCTGCCGAATCTACCAATTATTTTGTTGTGGAAACAAAATAAATGTAGGAGAACACTATTTTGTTCTAATAGTAAATTAACGCGTGTCCCGAGGACAAATTTACCGTGTAGAATATTTTCTGTCCCGACAACGAAACTGTTTTTCTGCTCTAATTACGAATAATTCGCTAATTTGGTTATGCTAACTAAACTACTGCATATTCGTTACGACTACTGTCGTTGTCGTAACGAATATGCAGTAGCAATGATAGTTTCGCTATAACAGCAAAATTATTTTTATCTGTGTGACAAATGTATAAAATTATTTCTTTTACGCGATCATTATCAGATTCTTTTACCCGCTCATTATCGGCAGAATTTCATTGGTGGGCGTTTTATGCGTGAAATCGATCGGCCATAAAGTAAACAAAAATTAACTTAAAATTAATAGATTATTGTTTGGAACATATTACCGTCGCGTTGCTGCGTCAAAGGTTACTCTGCACCCACTGTTGGTAATTTCAGTCGAACTTGCGCTCGGGTATACGTTTTACACTTCCAATATTGCGTTTCAAATCTACTTTCTCGCATGTGCGAGTCATTCTCGAGCCTTTCGCAAGGATGACGAACGATTGATGAAATAATTGACATGCGCAAAATATCGCACTTTTTAAATGTTAGATAGAAATAGCAACAAATAAGAAGCAAGACGCAGCGATCTGTGCGGATAATTCGATATTCAGACGCGCGGACCAACTTACCGTGTACGTCCGTTTGTTGTACGATGATTAACTGAGAGACAGGAAACCCGGAACGTAATTCGACAGCGCACTGTCATATCGCGTGTTAACATCACAGGAGCCGTACAGAGTCGGTAACAGATCCGCACAAACGTGCCGCTTTGTAGATCTATTACCGCACACGATGGCGTAATGCGAGACTTGATGAATTTAATCCGGTCAGATCGTATACGAAAATGTTTCAAGCAGAACGATGCAGTTTTCGAAGTAACGAAAGAACGATACGTCGCGAGTGAAAGTAACGATATATAGAGAAAAAGATTTCTTTGGATTTAGTATAATTTAGGGGAGATTTATTTGACTTGGGTTTGATTAATATAAACAATATAATTTAATATCAAATATCATTATATTTGAATGAAAAACAATATTATTTAGAGAGAATATTATTTTGTTTTAAGTAAAAACAATATTTCATTATATATTAAATTCCACTATTAAAATTATGTTGTTTTAAGTAAAATGTTTTAAGTATTATTTTGTTTTAAGTAAAAACAATATTTCATTATATATTAAATTCCACTATTAAAATTATGTCCTACTAAGACAAAGAAGTTCTTTAACACTTTTCTAACGTAATATCATATTATTTTCAAATAATTTATTGTTTGTGACAATCATTGTAATAAGTGAAAATTCAAAATAAAATATGTTATGAAGTAAAGATATTTATTGTTTGGGGAAACAAATAATCCTGTTTGTTGAATTAAACATTCCTATGTTTTCTCTATTTCAAGGACAATTTTGTTTCAATTAATAAAATTTCATTAAATTCAAGGGAATCGATTTTTTTGCACAGTGTAATGATCTTATTTCAAAAGGAAGGAAAGGGAAACATGTGGTTGAAGTTTGGAGCAATCTTCGAGCAAAAATTAAAAAATTTTTTCCGAAATTTAACCTCAGTAAAATCTCAAAATTACGCGCAAAACAATAAAATTGTGCAAAATGTGTAAATATTAACATAAAAAAGTAAGAAAAACGGAAAATATATTCTTGCGCGCGCGAGAATATTCACACAATTTATATTCCTGCCGAGAGTTCTAGTGGCTTGCACAAACAAATGTAAATAATTTTATATTCCATGGAACGATATACATTAGAAAAAAAATAGTTCATCGATAACATAAATGTTGACACATCTTGCACAAATTTATAATTTTTTACATATTTTTGTTTTTTTACTTAGGTTAAATTTGTAAAAAAGTTTTTTTAACTTTCACTCGAAGCTCGCTCTAAACTTCAATCACATATCGAAATAAAACACATATATGCATATATTTTGAAGATAATGTCTATACTTATACGTTTTTAATATATATGCATATTATAATTAAAATAATAATAATAATTATTAACAAATAAATAAATTATAATAATTTTTTCATGCGATTAATTGGCAATCTTTTCGTGCAACGGTCATGAAAGGCCCCAGATAAATAACTTTCTGCATCTCTATCTGATCCTCCCGCTGTTTTATCATATTTCTTATCGTATCCAACTGTGATTTGTTCCATTTATACTTACTGATTGTGAACTCCCATACCTAAAAACAGATCGTTGCCATCGCGTGAAGTAATAGTGCTGCTTAATATCATATAATATTTGACACGGTGTAATCATCGCATAATTAAGATTTAAAAGATTAAAATCTAAAGAGACAGTATATATCACATGTACGGAGAGAAATGAAAATAATCAAATGTCTACAGACCGGCATAATAGCTTTGACACATCGTGCAACCAGGTTATTAGGCTTCTTTAAACACATGCCTTATTGATTTGTTATTTATTGTTTGTTCACAAAAGCGGAAATGATGTATATAATAAACGTTAGCCTGTCACTGAGTTTTACGATAACGGGTAAAAATAAATATATACTGTTACAGAAAATACTAAAAATATTTAATCATATTGCGTATTAAGTCTTTTATGCCGATTTGTAGTCATTAGTAAACCGTGAAGCACGAGATCACGATGTTTACCTGATTAAGTTGGCACCTGGAATACACGTTCATGATAATGCTACCTAATTTCTCGTTTATATTCATGTGACTGTAATATAAAACAACAGATTTAAGTGGATGTGAAAAAACACGCTTTGCTGCATACATCGCGTGCATGGTGAAAGAGAAAAGATTTTACTGTGACATAAGTTCGTCAAAATAGCCCAAGATAAAATCGACCACTTCCTTCTTCCTCGCGTGCTTCTTCATTACGCCACGGTATAATTTCATCAGCTGTTCAGGTTCCAAATAATCCCATACAGAACTCATGTCGAATATAGTTGAATTCAAAAAACTATTTACAATCATATTGTCCTCGGTACAAGATAGGTGTTTTATCATTACCCTGTTTTTGGTAACAAAGTGCCGCGCCGCTTGATCCCAAACACTTTTGTTCGCGTTCATTAGACCCGCGCAATACACCCAATTCTCCCAACCTGGCAGAATTCTACGATGAACATGAAATGACGAAAAAATTGTAATAAACAATCAGCTTTTTTCAAATGTCATCTCTACCTAACGATTCACAAAACATTGTGAGAAAAATATCGTTCAAAATGGTGAACATGAGTTGACACTTGGAAAGAGGAAAACTGTTTGTCAGAATAATTACGGATTTTTCTTGGTGTTACTTAGATGTTGTGTCAACATATTAGCAGCCATCTCTCTGCACTTGAAATCGCCGAGTTTACACGCCCAATAGTATACTAATAACGACGTGGCGTCCGCTACGGTTTCACTGTATTCGTAAGTCCTCATATATTTCGCGAACATTTCCAATATATGTTTCTAGAAAAATCGTTTAATAATATTAATTTCCCATACTCTTCATACGTCATGTGTATATTATTCGAGAAATTTTACGCCTGACACAACTATCTATGCATAAAATCAGTTGGCAGAAAGAAGATCCTAATCGTTTATTTCGATGAATCTCGAAATACGCGGTATCTAATAGGGAAATTTATCCCTCGAGAATTGCTAAAAAACTTCCTATGGAATACTGGGTGCGTTCTGAAGAGATTATCGAGGTAAAAATGTTGCGACCTATATTTCATTTTGTTTATGTATATACCCAATATCACAATGTGTGTACTATCACCAATATCACAATACACATTAATTTTAATTACATTGCTATATACCTTGAAATATTCACTCTCTAAGAAATCGAAGAAGGGCGACATATAGTGCAAAACGTTCGCCATAGAGTGCCACGGTACATAGTCCATTTCTTTCCACATGTATCCGGTAAGCTCGAGAAAGACTGTGTAGTGCATTTCCTGCATCATCATAAAATGATACGCATCATCGATGAGTTGAGCACGATTCAAGCGGTGGATCTTTCTATAATCGTTTTCGTTTAGATGATGCGTGATGTAAAACCAATAGTCGGTGTTGTAATTGACGCGATAAAAGTCTGTCGAAGAAACGAAAAATAAACAGTTATCTCAATGAATTTAGTAACTGCTTCCCGGTGACGTAACTGAACCAAAAGTTTTCTCATATGGAGTCACCATACTCACTGGTTTGTTGTATGTTGAATATGATCCAGTGTTTTGGATTAGTTACATTAATTGTTATAATTTCATCTGCCAACCACAATCTAGGCGAAGTGTTCGAAAAGTTAAGTTCTTGCTGCGTGGTGTACGTTATAGGTGTGTACCATTCACGAAATCTATTGTTGTTTCGTGATGGATAAGGATATTGTGAAATATGCCTGCTGTAGTCATCCTCATGTTCCACAAAAGTCAATACAGGATAGTTTGTTTGCGATGTCCACTTGTACATTACGTGCTCTAAGTTATATTTGTAACGGTCCACAACAATTTCTCGTTGGAATAACTGCCACCAATCATAGGAAGCGCTTGTGTAACTGTGTTAAATAAGAAGATAGATTATATCGGACGCAGTAATATCCTACAATTAATTAATTAATTTTTCATTATTTTATGTGTGTACGTCAATCCCAATGTTTAAAGTTTGACATGTTATATCATTATCACGTATATTAATTGTATATATACGCATATATATAACTATACACCTCTTTTATCTCTAATTGATACTTCCGTTTCCACTTCGCCTTAAACCACACGCTCCTTTTCTTTTCCCCTAATATTTTATATAAATAAATAAATAAATAAATATATATATATATATATATATTTATTTAGTAACTGCTTCCCGGTGACGTAACTGAACCAAAAGTTTTCTCATATGGAGTCACCATACTCACTGGTTTGTTGTATGTTGAATATGATCCAGTGTTTTGGATTAGTTACATTAATTGTTATAATTTCATCTGCCAACCACAATCTAGGCGAAGTGTTCGAAAAGTTAAGTTCTTGCTGCGTGGTGTACGTTATAGGTGTGTACCATTCACGAAATCTATTGTTGTTTCGTGATGGATAAGGATATTGTGAAATATGCCTGCTGTAGTCATCCTCATGTTCCACAAAAGTCAATACAGGNCATATATACAATTAGAGATAAGAGAGGTGCATAGTTGCGAAGGTAGGCTGATACGCGTGGAAACAAGATGATAGAGTATGAAGTACACGTATCTGTGAAAAACACCATGTCCATGTCTGTAAAAGAGACACAATATGTCTTTGAGTGGAAACATAACGTGAGATATACATTATAATTGAAAGTGAATGTCTGTAAGAGACAAAATATGTCTGCAAATTAGTCGGCAAAAAAGATAACTTGTCTGTAGGAGACATATGTCTGTTAAAAGACACCAGGTCAGTAGGAGACCCATGATGTCTCCGTGTGTACATGAGCGTTAGAAATAAACAGAATAAGTTAATTTGGCAGAGATAATGATAAGGGGTAAGATAAAGAAAGATTGTAACCTACAGGGAAACAATAAATTATTATTATTACTTACTCAAAATTTAAAATTTTAGCAATGCCTTGATTAAACTTCTCTTTTTGAATAATATGTTGCAACATGTGCATGCTAACGGATGCTAAAAAAATTAAGACATGGGTCAGTAATGAGTGATTAAAAAGTTTAACAAAGTAAAACTATAATATCATTAGTTTGTAAAAAGTGCTGTTGATACAATAGAGTTGATACAATTTATTTTCTTAATTTATCAGATATATTCCTTCCAATAAATTAATAAATTAATAGAGATAACTTTTACTAATCGATAGACTATTTCGAATTGCAAATATATTTTTTAGCTGTCATAATTCCGTATATCGTACTCTTCATATTAGATTTCACGTACGCGATGTGACTTTACTTGCGATTCTCTTTGTTTCGATCAACGAGTATACTTATGATTACATCATAGCCTTTCATTGGGCGTTCTTACCTTTATTGTTGATGAGAGATGTATAAATCGGATCAGAATTGTCTGTAATATACGACACATTTAAAATAATGTCATTATGCAGAGCAGGCTGTTGGATCTGCGTTACATAAAGATCTGTCATCTGGTCGTATAGATGGCTCTAAAATTAGCAGTTGTAAACAATTAATATTAAGAAAGACGCTAAACATAGCGGCACGAGATTCGTCGTTGCTAAAAAATCCAGATCCTTATTAATATTTATAAATAATATTAAAATTTAAACTTATAATGGTGTTATGGATTGTTAAAATTTAAACTTATAATGGTGTTATGGATATAAACATGACAATTAAACGACATTTTGACACTTTGTATTCTTTGCGAAGCTCTTTTAGAAAAATTAAATGATATTATTTTTGTCTGTCCTTTACGTATGAAAAAAGATTGGCTAAATTTGAAACAATGTAACACTGTCCGTGTCAGCGTTTTTCGATTGCGTAAGCCAAGTGTCACTAATGCTAGAAAAAAGATACAAAGAAGAAAAACCTCTTCTATGATGTAATAACTGAGATATAACGCAAGCCCTTTCGTAAGCCGTTCAACAAACCACGTGGTACTACCGCTGAAAGTTGCGATAAATTGCTGTATGATTGCATACGCTACTGTTCTCTGCACTTCTATTTTGTACCCGATAAAGTTTCCTTTATCGATGACATCCTCCTCTCTGAAATTTATATATTTGCACGTAAACGTTTCTGCCGACAGTTTTCGTATCTTTCAATCAATGTTTAACATTCCGCGCTTTGAAATACAAATTTTGGCCGATAAGTGGCTTTACACTTCCGTCGAAATTACAACTATAGCCGTTACAACATTATAAGCTATTATAACCGATCTCACTTCTCGATCATCACTTATGTGACTTTCAACATTGCTAACATTAGATTCACTTTTCAATTTTGAATGCAATCTGACGATTCAATGAATGAAAGAATTCTACTCTACTAAAGAATCACTCGGCTGCCATTTTACTTTTTATGTAGAATTTTACTCGAAGAAGAATTTAGAGGGTGCTTTACCTGACAATAACGAGACCCCAACCTCCAACGAATTTAGTCGGCAGATTCGGAAACGCAATCAAGTCGATGCCTGAATTTTTCCAAGCAATACCCATGTACTTAGTCAGAAAGTTAACAATCCTTGGGACAGCTACGCTCATTACATCTACTTGGTCTTTTTTCTCATGTGTGCACCATATGTAGATCTTCCACGTTGGGTGTAGAGTATCATTGTACAGTATATCGACGTGTTCGACATCCACAACGGCGATTATTAAGGATTGGGCAGGTAAATTTGGCGTAGTTTTAAAGTTCGTCAATGTTTTGTTATCCGCTAGTTTTGTCATCCGCTGATCCTTCAGCGGCATATTCGACCAGGCTCGGTGTGTCCTTGGATGCACGACCGAAATGTTGAACTTCGACTTCCACACTGGTCCGTCCCAACATGGGAACGCACGTCGAGCGTCATTCGTTCCGAACAGCGTTACGTACGATTGCCTGTCGCATTTCAAAGACTCGACATTAATTACGACAGATCTTCCGTCGTGACGAAGATATACTATGATATATAATTATTTTCCAATCGAGTGACCTTTGCGTGATCACTCGCGAAGCTCATGCAAATATCGGTAAGGTGACTTTCCTGAAGTTATTTCTTTATGAAAAAAAGGAAATAAAAAACTAGAAAGATCTTCCGTGATCGACATGTTAGGCAACCAAACGATTCTTTCTCACGAAATGTAAAATTTTATAATAAGAGAAAAAATATCTGAAAGATAAACGAAATATTTATCGAGTGCGTAATAACAATATATTTATTTAAATCTAAATTCAATCGGTTAAGTAATCAAATTTTTTTTAGAAAATCTACTGTTTTGGAAAAACGTATATTTTTTTATTTGCAGAAATTTTTTTTTCAACGTAAAAATATTAGTGTGAGTAAATATGTGTGTGTGTTACCAGTGTATGTGTTTGTGTGTGTGTGTATTGTACGAATATGAATATTATCTCTTAGATATTGTTTCTTTCAGTTGTCATAATTAGATCGGTATGTCACGGCCAGATTAAACAGAAGCTATAAACTGCGCTTTTTTGCGCCAAACATCGCTCACCTTGTCTGCCCTTGGTGGTCTGTACGATTGGTTGCGACAAAGCCTGTGATGCCGAGCAAAGAGCCGTTAAATTTCATACTTAGAGTATATTCGCCGCGTTTGATCTTGTCGTCGAATTTGAAAACCAAAATCTGCCTGTTCTCGCAATAACTATATGCCTGCGGCTTTCTCACTGTGTTATCCTTATGAGCAACAAGCTTTACCGACTCGTCCTCTATTTGCAGCTTGTAAGCGTGTAAACCAATGTTACGCATAGGAGTAAGTAACTGGAGGAGGACACTGGACTCCCCGTGGAAGGTGTCCATGTACGGTGTCAACATAATGTTGTATTGTACGGGAACTATGTCAGGTGTTAAGTTATAATTGGGCCGGCAATCTTTCGAACGCACGCAATCAATCGCCGATGCGACCGTAAATATTAGGCCGATGTTGAGCAATATTGTTAAGAACATCGCGTCACTTCTCGTTTCGGTCATCTGCAAGAACAGTTTCTCTCATAGGCAAGAAAAAGACGAAGTACACGCTTCCATACATAGATACAATTGTACGTTTAATTACTTATAGGCAGTTGTGTCGCAGAGTGTCGGATTTTCAGTGGACTTTATTTAACTATATTTATATTATTATTTAACTTGATTTAACTACCTAAGTAATGTTAACCTAAGTAAATGTTAACCTTGAACGAAATTAAAAGAAATATATACATATCTTACAAACACGGGATATTATTTATTTTTTTATTTTTTATTTTTCTTTTTTCTTATTAATGTTTTATTTATATATTAATTGAACTAATAGAGGTGCACATATAATAAAAAA